CCAATGCCCTGTTTAATTGTATTTTACTCATTGTTCACGCTTTTTTCCTTACAGATACCTCCCACATATTGAGCCACTTCAGAAATCCTGAATAACTTGGAACTCAAGTCAGTTGAAAGTCTTATTGTCCTCGCCACCAATGGGTTTTATTCACCATACCTCTTGAAATCCCATTATACCAACAAGAGCTTTTAATTCCTAGCCTGTCTACTTACAACTGAATGCTATGCTGGAAATGGTAAACTTTGAAAAAGTTGACTAAACTCTGATCTTTCTAAGGACGTGATGGGTGTCCTTGGTAAGAGAATAGTATAAGGTTACTAACTTCACGTAGCACTACTTTAGTTTAACCAACTACTGCAAGTAAGCAGCAAAATTATACATCTATAACGATATTCAGTTACACTCCTTTTTACATTTACTTTCTGTTCATATTACCCCCCACCCTAATCATACACCCAAATCTCCAGTTCAATCATTAATACTTTGCCAAAACAATTTTTACTATATTTGTCCATAATTTGTATCAATCCAAATTTTTATAAAATATGGAAACAATTATGTTGATTGACTTTTTTTTAAAAAAGGTAACAAAAGTCTCTCTTTAGGAGACAAGGACCAGGCAATACTGATTTAATACGCAGACACATTAGTATGGTTTGGTATGTATTGACAAGAAAATTATTTACTGTTTTTTTATTTGTATTGACACTTATCATCAAGGCTGTAAAAGTAGCTACTAAACTTGATGGACAATCCAATATTACTACCGTATCATCTCTTAAAACTGGTGGTCCAGCAGACAAACCAAAAATAATTTGGTAATTGCAAGCTCTGTAGAATCTAAGTGAAACTATAATTTTCACAAATTGTTTTCAGAAGTTTACATTAACTGGGAGGACTAATCCCTTTTTAGAATTTCACATCAATTGGGAGAACTAATCTGCCAGAGAAGTGAGAAATGCTGATAAGATTGATTCAAAAGATATGTCCTAAACATACAAATAATGAGTTGTATTTGACCTGTCCTTAGCTTCTCTTATTACAATGAACAGCCAGCTAAAGAAAAGAATTTGTACTGTCTACCCATGGTCTGCCTAACAAAGTGTAAAATTGGAAGATAACTTTGTAAAAAAAAAACTACCAAGTATTGAAAAAAAAAAAATCAGGGCTCTCCACCATTACCTATTAACCACAAAACACAGACCTGAACACTATTTTTTCTACATTATAATAAATCTAATCTTTTTGCTCTAAAATTAACAAATAAAAAGGTGAAAATGTCATAAAATTCCAAAATGTTTTCTAAAAAGAGGCGGAAAACACAGGAGTGGAGGATTGAACACTAAATTTTACTTGGTCTAGTACAGGAAGGCCTATGAGTATAAAGATTTATATCTGTTGAAAAGGGCATAAATAATTAGAAGGTTACACCATAGACCCCCCACCCCCACCCCCCACTACTTAAAAGGAAGGAAGGATTGTATGTGAAGATCACACATAGCTGACGACTGTAATTATCTTTTTTTTTTCAAAGCATAATTTATAACTTCCCAATAACAATTGGCAGGAAATGCCACCACTTTCTGATGCTAGTAATCAAACTGGATTTTCTTTGGCCTTATTAACCAGAAATAAAACAAGGTAAACTGTTCTTCTGTTTCCAAATGTTACACTTGTTCACGAAAATGCCTCTAATAAAATTTAATTTAACTTCATGTTACCGCTGAAAAAAAATGAATTTAAGCAAAATAAATATAATTTGTATTGCTATATTCAATGCGCACTCAAAAAATAACTATTTGTTGATGGTCCAATTAAATAAACTACGGTGTTAAAAGTACTTTACAGGAGACATGATTCAATTTTAATTTTTCATTGGATTCAATGCAGTAATTTTTCATGCCCAAATGTTCATGCAACATTTTACACATTTTTTTCCCTTGGGTCATTAATTTGTCTTTATTTAAATATTGAGAAATTGGAGCAAGTTTTTTTTTTTTCACATTTTTAATGATAGTTGGGAAATGAACTTTCTGAAACTTTGCTTACGAGTAATTTGTTTGTTGTGATTGACTAAACCACTCATTTCAGCATGGGTTGGGCACATGTTGTGGAATTAGCTCAGATGACAAATTCCCTCCACGCTGGAAGCATAACTACTGAACCTTATCGAATTATAAAAATCATAGAAAATAAATCTTTTCAAAGTGAAAAAAACGTCAAAGGAACTGAACCTAAGAATAGTTCCTTAGGACTCCCTCACCCATAACTCTAACCCTCCAGTAACCCTCCCCCGTTTTAATTGTGTATATTTAGGGGTTTATACAATACATGTTTGGGTTCAGGTTAGGGGTAGGTCGTAATACATTATCTCCACTATAAAGCTCAAAAACGACCTACAAATTATTTGGCCTAATTCAAACAAATATTTTTGAAAATATAATTTCCACAATAATATTTATATATAAAAAAAAAATAATAAATAAATGAATAAAAAAATATACAACATATAATCTCATTTGCTTTGTTCAAAAAGTATCTCAATAAGAAACTAACTTATATAAATAAACAATTATATGTGTTGTATACTAAATGACTTCAATATTTTCCCAATAGAAATACAACTGTAATGTTCATTTAAAGGGCGGCAGTCGTCGTGCCGCGTTCTGTTCGATATGGGACTCATAGCGACGTATACAACGCGTGTAAAATACATTGTTTATTTACATGAAACTCAACATGCGCTGCGCAACGACCACTGCACTTTAAGTATATGCACTAAAAGTAGAAAAAATACATTATATATATAACAAATATTATAAAAATTGAAGAAGAAAAAATAACAGGAGGGAAAACGTAATGCCCAGAGTTTTAGGACACCAGAAATGAAAGTTTTCCCGTTTCTTGGCCTGATCAACAGTGTGGGTGTCAATGTCTAGACGTTTTATTTACAAATTCTACAATCTCTTAGAAACTAAAGACCAAACTAATTTGTCACTTTTGTCAGTTGTAAAAGAAAACCACCAAACCCTAACCTATATAAAGGGTCCTGACAAGACTGTGTAAACACCACAATTCAAAAGATGCCCACTCCAACATGCAAATTAGCATCAAAGTTAGCCAGTCGCAGTGAAGTGAAGTGAAGTTCAATTTAATCAAAATCTACAAGATGAGGAGATGCAACACGTATGATACTAAACGAAGATCCAAATTTGAAGACACAAAATTATCAAAAAATTCAAGACATCTCTAGCAATGTAATTAAGTGAATCTGTGGTCAGTATCCATCTTGGGCTGTGGCAGCTTTTGAAAGTGTGCATTATCTGCATTTTGCATTTTCGAATATGGTTCCAAGTGTTCTATGATGCTATTGGTGAAATGTTTTTCATCTCATTTTTCATATTGATGAGGTCTAAGCCAAATTGAACAATAATACGTCTCTTTTCCAGGTTTTCACTATGAATTCCTTGCCATCAGGAAATGGAAAACAAATTGGGGTCAATGGTCAAAATTGGTAATAATTTACATTTTTATACTGGTTTCTATGATGATATTATTTCTTCAGATCCTAAAATTATTCTCAGTGACAATCTGACATAAGATGAAAAAAATCAATTATTATTCTTGTGAATCCTAATTCAAAAAATTGACAAATAATTTAGTAATTTTCCAGGATGGGAATAGATTTCTATTACCCATTTAAATACAATGGAAAGTTCTCTCCCATAATGCATTGCATGTATGTGTAGTAACATGCTCAGTAGTGCAAAATTTTAACTTGGCTCAAACTGGCTCAATTAAAAGTTGGAAATTTTGTTAGTGGTTTTAGTTTTAAGAAAGGGGTCTGATTTGTAATGCAGATATACAGAATGTTTCAATCACAGCTTAAAACGTGGTAATGTTGTCCTGGTAAAATTGTACTATATGCCCAGTAACATGTGGAGTAGTGTAAAACTTTAATTTCTCTATCACAATGCATTGTACTTGTATGCCCAGTAGTGTAACATTTGAATTCAGCCAGTATTCTTAAAATCACCCAAGCTGGCATGAAATAGTTGAGAAATAATGATGTGGATTCAAGCCGGGTAATTATGCAAGTCACAACCATGCTTTGCACTATTCAACATACATGACAACTGTAGTTTTCAACTTTCACGAACAATTACTTTTGTTGAGTGTTGACTTATTCGCTTGTGATTTTAAACATGAAAGCACTGCATTGAGAATACTGACACAAATTCCACAGCAGGGCAGCCATTATGCAATACAGCATGGACCAGAAAATAATGTAATTCAAAAAAACATGTTCTGATATACCGGTACTCTTACATTGCATGCTGTATGCCTTGGGAATTTATGACAATGGCTATCCATGAAGTTACTGTTCTACGTCAGCAATAATAGACAAAATATATAGATAAAAAATTGGTAGCAAGACAAAACTCATTTTTTTACAGTTACTTTAATTCATATACACTAGAAACCCACACGAATTTCAACCCTTTTCCTATGATTTTTTTATTATTTCTAATATTTGCTTTATTAATATTGCTACAAATATATGAGGCAATTTAGTGATGACTATTGTTAAACCTTCAGAAAAGTAGATGAATTAAATACAAGAATTGAAGCACCTTATTTTAAATGAAACCGTATTAGAAAAATATTCATTTTTATGGAAACGTTGCTGAAAATTGGACTGATAAATGAAACATGTGAGATTGAAGAATAGAGGGGACCTGGCGATTTTGAGGAGGGGGGTCTTAATGATATTGATGTCCTTTGTGACAGGAAACTATAGATATATGAACAAATTATTTTTTTTTAAAGTGAATTTCTGAAAAATATTAATTTTTATTATTTTATGTTGATAGTTGTATTCATACATAGACTGCATAGTCGCTATTTTTATACAGAATAAAGATGCTCTCTGGATTTGATACATTTACTAATGACAACAGAAATCATTAAGACTGAAGATGGGCAAGAATTCTTACCTGACCAAAATCGATGGTAACGTTGACTTCGTTGTACTCGAGCCCACGTGAAAGTGGCGGGCTTTGCCACCATTGTTTTGTCCCGTCTATAGCATGGTAGGCTGGGTGGGATGTCAGGGGATTCTTCGGGTCACAGGTATCACATATTTGTCCCTGGATCAAGTTAACATCAGAATTGTATATGACATCGGTAGCGGTGTTTCCAGTCAGTTTGCAAAAAAGTTCCTCTCCAACTTCCTCGCCACAAGTCGATGTCGCGGAGATGTTCTTACCGGTAGCGATGTTAAAATAAGGAGGCTGCAGAACTTGGCCATTGACAATCCCTGAAAAAATGTCAATAGTTGAAACTATCAAGCAAGCGACGAGAAACTTGCTACCCGCCATTGCATATCAACCCGACTGACCCCACCAAACAGAAATACTTCAAACTCGATGCACCCCATGACCTCCTTTTTTATTTGGGTCCGACTATTTTAATGAGGGGGGTTGTTTTACAGCTAAATAAATATACGACTACAACTAAGTTATATCTTTTTTTTAAAAAAACGATGACTTAAACTCAGATTCTGTAGAATAAGTACATTAAACTTTAAAAGATTCAAATATGTTTTTACGTCATTTTAATACAATTTGCGGTTAGCTCACGCGTTCATTGAACCCTGACCAAGAATGGGACAGCCATATTGTCATGCTAAAAAGGTAAATCACCACTATTCAAGAAATCGAAATTGCCAAAAGAATCACGGATTATTGTCCTTAACTTTTGAATTGGCCTGAGATACGGAACAGAAAGTGAATAACAATCAGAAGAAAAAAAAGGATCTGTTATAAATGCAGATCAAACCAGTCAGACGTATTTTTTCACCACCAGATGGCGCTATGGACCACTTCCAAAATAATTTTCAGGCAAAATTAACGGAGGGCCCGAGGGATCGGGGTCCAGGTCCACTGGCACAGAGAAATATGAAACATGGCATTTCTCAGGTAAATACATAAATATATAAACAAATAAATTATGAGAAAATTTATATATATACAATAATGTTTAAAGTGTTCGGTGAGCGTCTAAGGTTACATGTATACTGTTTAAAGGGAGGCAGCAATTATGAACACGGTACAGTGCAACTATGATAACTACACTGTTAACTGCAATAAACCAACCACATATTACCGAAACAACAACTATACTAAACGACAGAGAAATCGAGAAATTAAGTTTGGAAGTTGAAAAAATATATAAATTATACTGGGAAAGGGAAATTAACATAAGGACTGATGATAACCAAAATAACAATAACAGAAGAAATAAACTCAGAACGTACAAACGTTTCTAAAATGAATTTATTTTAGAAAATTATTTGATCAAAATAATGCCGAACTATGTGAATGTCTAAGTAGGTTCCGTCTGAGCAATCACAGACTAAAAATTGAAACAGAGAGGTATACCAAACCAAAAACCGAAATAGAAAAAATTAAAGTATCTGCAAAATAGAAGATGAGTACCATTTTATTATTAAATGCCACTTTTACGAAAAACGCGAAAAGTACTATTTGAAGAAACGACTAAACACATTATAAACTTAATGAACATCTTCTGGAAAAATAATATAAATATTTTTCTCCTTTTATACGTCTTTTTTTCATTATTCGGCGCAAACCGATCACTTCATTGAGTGTTACTGTAAGTTGACGTACGGTTAGAATAATTTGACAGGTTTTGTTGTCCCGGAGCATTGTGGGTAAATAGTTTACTTTCGAGGTCAACACGGGTCGTAGTGCGATAAAATATGGCGACGATGCTGATCAATGTTCTACCCGCAACATTAACCGGATTCTCGTGTTAAATTCGTGGATCATCTTGTATTTACGAGTCTTACTATTTACACGGATTATCGCCTGACAGCTCAAATCATCATTTTTTATTGTTTCTGTGCACAGCCGATTACGACTTTTAGGTAACTGTTCTTTGAACTTGAAGTTAAAATGGCCTATTTTACTGTCAACGAAAAATCAACCCAATCGGCAGCTTTGCAATATAGCTCACTGTTTTTTAACAAAGTATCAATATTGATATCAGCATACCATTACAATCTGTTACATTTAAAATATCAATATTGCTATTTTGTTTTCAAAACAGTAAGCTCTATTATAAATCAGCTGGTTGGGTTGGGTTGATTTTTCGTTCAAAATAAATATCTGACCTTGGTATACGTAGTCTTGGTTCTGCGGCATTTTGGGTATGCCTTACGATCTAAACATGGCTGATAGGGTCTAGCAGATTGAAAAAAAATAAAATAATTGCTTACAGCTTACATTTCCATTTTGTGTCAAATATGACTCTACCAGAATTTGTGCAGCATTGGTGTACAGTAGAAATATTTAAAGCGTGGCGGTCGTCGCGCAGCGCGTGTTCGAATTTCATGTAAATAAACAATGCGTTTTACACGCGTTGTATACATCACTATGAGTCCCATATCAACGACTGTCGCCCTTTAATACAAGAAGGAAACAAAACTTGCACTGGAATTTTCTAAATGGCAATTTCAAATGCATTTAATCTTATATTTCACTTGCGAACACTGACAAAATTGAAATATTTCAACACAAAATGGATATCTAAGCTGTAAGCAATTATTTTATTTTTTCTTCTGCTAGATCCTATCAGCTGTACTTAGGTCACCAGGCCCCTGTGGTTTGTTGGTATACACAGCAAGCTTTTACTGCCATATATACTAACCGACAAAGCCTAGAACCCTATGCTGCAAAATGATGGCTATATTTGTAGTGCACACAATTTGTGTCACAACTACATTTGTACATATGCTAGGACACAGGGGTTTTTCTAGAAAAAAACTGCAAGAGAGGGCACTGCAACTCAGCGGCGGCACCAAGTTGGGGAGATAGGGTTCTCCCTACCAGGGTGTGGAGTTTTTGCATTCTATGGCTTCCTTGGGCCAAAATTACTATCAGACAGGTCACAGTTGGAGTGGCCACATGTGATCCCTGGTCAATCCGAATTTTATGGTTGCCAGTGGATCTGCCCCCAGGGTAAGGAGGCGCATGGCCATGGCATGAGAGCGCTGCACCCCTGTTCCCTTGTTTAAAAAAATTCCTGAGGACACCATGTAGTGTTGAAGGTGTGAATAAGTGGACCAGCACATTAGCAGTAAAAGTGATGTGGACCAGGGAATCATTCCAGTTGATGTACAACTCGCGTAATGATGTGTAATGGTCTAACGTACTAATTTCACATGATATGTCCTCAATATTTTTATTCTTCAAATTAAAATGGCAAGATTTTTTTTTATCCATTATGGAAACGGGAAAAACAAAAGAGAGATGAAACAAACCTTATATCATAAGGATCAAAGTTGGACATAGTGATAGTATACTAGTACTGGTATTACAAGAATAAGAATTCCACTGTAAACACAAAAGGTTTTGCTCTTTAATATTAAAATAAACAAAGGACTTGTGTTTATGATGACGTATCTTTTTAGCTCCATGCTCCTGCATTACATTACCCCCAATTCCCAACATTCCCAACACTTGCAACTCAAAAACTGACATTAGACTATAAGGTTATTTACATGTAGTTGCACTCTTGACTAATAAATTTCACCACTTGCAAAGGTGGTGAACACTCACAACTGCTACTTTTTACAGCTGCATTTAACAACTTGCAACTCTTGACTTGCAACCATTCTTTTATATGCTGGTGATTGTGTAATATATTTTTCCATTATTTGTAAATTAATACATAAATGTTCTTTTTATTTTTACATTTGTGTTCAAACAAAAACAGAGAATTGTGAATTGACCTTCATGTATGTATCTGTGCGTCCATCCATATCCAGCCGTCACCTCGAACTGATTAAGTTCAAAATTCAGAAATATGTCAGAAATTATATCAGACAAATGCACATAAATTTATTTCATCATCTGATTCAAGATGGCTGAATATCAGCCATTTTAAGGCCAGTAATGTATCAAAATCACACATTTTTACCATTCTAGATCCGGATCTCAGTCGTGCATGGACAGATTTAGTTTGAACTTGATACATACACTGAACATGAAGGAACCTTCATGCACAGCATTTTATTTTTTCAGATCGGATTCAAAATGGCCGACTGACATATATTAATATATATTCTACATGCCTGAACCGATCAAGTTCAAACTTGTCTTCACGTGTCCCCCCCCCCTCCCCCAAATGCATTCAAAAATATAAATCATTTTGTGAGCTTCATTTACAATATTTCAATAATTATGTGCAGTTCCTTTGTTTTTCAGTATTCAATGGCAACAAAAGCTCCAGGAAACTTTTCTTGGGTTGATAAGGGAAAGGTAGCTGGATTGGCATTCCCGCACACTGCTGAACATTTGCACTACATCCATGAACAAGGTGTGCACCATCTCGTCACCTTGACAATGAACTCGCCTCCTATGGATACGTGCCCTATGTTAAAGTGGCACAGGATTAAGATGCCAGATTTTACGGCGCCTTCTATGGATCAAATATATAAATATTTGAAGATTGTGGAAGAAAGCAATGCAAAGGGAGAAGTGAGTGCAAATCTAAGATTATTCATGAAAATATGAAAACAGCCAAAAGTTTTAAACATGAGCATGATACAAACTTTCACTGTTATCACTGGAAAGCAAGGGGGGTGCATGTGTTCGATGGTGATCTCTCACGAATTAAGGAAGTCATGCGAATTGTAGAAGCATAAAACAAATTTCCTGACAAACTTACATTTCGAAAAATGCTTACAAAATAGCACGTCTGTGAAAGAACTGCTTCATGTTCATCTCAAACCATTTTTGGTAGTGTCCTTGTTAATACGCAATGCAGTACAAATCTTGCTATTTTTTTTTTTATGCAATCAAATGTTTTCAACCATCCATGGCGCTCTTTGAAGCTATCCTCGGGGGCGGAGCTACGTCACGGACCTTCTACGTTGCTAAGACGCGCACCACTGTACCACGTATTTCTATGGGCTTTGTGCGCGCTGCTGTGGAACGCCAGTGGAGCCGGTGAAAACTCGAGAAAACAACACAAACTCAACTTTGAAGTAATCCTGAACAACCAAATTCATATATGTTACACACGTAGGGCTAATTTTGTTACACTGTTCAGGGGACTCTCAACAACCATCGCAAAGTACCGTTTTCTGCGAGTTTTTGGTCTTTGTTTTCACCGTGAGGGTTGCCAGGCGGTAGAAAATGCCCGGATGTCCGCCCCCGAGGATTGGCTAGAACTATGTTTGATAGATGCGCGAAGAGTTTACAAATTGCAAATTGAGTTCCCCTCTCCTGAAATTTCATCGCATGTCACAATTCATGGTTATGAAAGTTGCACATCCTTATCTTATAAATCCTGAACTCAGTGTCAACAAATGTGTTACCATGGCGATATTTATGTTAATCCACCCCTTCACTATCTTTAACATAAATGATCTTCTGGCTTTATTATTAGGCTGTTGCAGTTCATTGTGCCCATGGCAACGGAAGAACCGGTACAATGCTGGCATGCTATCTAGTGAAAACCAGGAAGATATCTGGACAAGATGCCATTAATCTTATACGGGAAATCCGTCCTGGATCTATTGAAGTAATTGAACAAGAGAGAGCTGTCGTGCAATTTTATCAGCATTATAAGTCTAATTTTTGAATGTGATGAGCATAGATTCAGATCATTTAAAACTTTAGATTGATACAGTGTATACCATGTTTTCTTCATAGAAGCACATGTTCACCAAATATTGTATTTGCTGTATATTAAATCATTGAAATATTATTTAATTTGATCTTAGAAACACCACTGTAATTTACTTAAGCACATGCACTGCTAATAGAGCAAATATTGGTACAGTAAATGCAATTTTTCGGTTTATGTGCACTTATATTAGATTAAATATAGTACATCTAAATCGATTATGAAAATTTACTATAAAAAAAGGCTTCCTTCTATAAAAGACTATAAAAACAAAGTCATTTTGATATGCTCTTGTGAGGGCAGTCTATTCATTGACCAAGCATTTTGTTTAGATATGACCACATGTACTTGGTTTCACCCTATGAATGCCAATATCAACTTGTGTACCCGGTAATCTTTAAACAGAATATTGTGTGAGCAATTATGATACTTCACTTTTTTTGTTGTTTTTTTCACACAAATTATATTTGTATCTTTCCACTGAAATGCAGAATGTGCTATTTGTAAGCTTTTCCCATTACATAAATCTAAACAAAACTATTAGATACATTTTAACTTATTCACAGTTGGATTTCATCCTGTCCTAAATATTACGGGTAAATATTATTTTTTATCTTTTTGATATTTAAAAACTACTGACATTATTTATGCCAGGAACGGATTTTTGAATCTGTACAGATTATGAGGAAGAGTAAAATAATATTCATTTGTATTATATAATAGTATTTATTTGAAAGTATACATACTAGTTAATAACATTGTGGTTTTTAATAAAATGGTGTATGAACAAGTTTTTAATTTTGTTATTAATGATTTAATGCAACGTTGTTAGATCGTTGTAAGACCTAAAAAAAAAAAGGTCAATAGGATTTTGTTTTAAAAATTGGCTTAATTAAGGATGTTCTTTTATTTGGAGTGTTCATTCGATTTTTTTTCTCTTGTTTGTCTAACAGAAAATTGTCCAACTGACTTTCGTGATAACCAGAAAATAAATATTAAAAACCAAACTGAGTGTTTGTAATTCATCTCGTATAGTTTTATGAGTGTTGGTCTAATTTGTTGTAACGAACATCGTGAACTGCCCAAGATGCTCATCTACGAAAAGCTTGTTAGCGAGGCATACAATGATCTATCTTAACAGTCATGCTATGGATAAGCTTTGGATTCCTTAGTGGCTTAGTTAGCATGCATGCAAAAGGAAGTCCAATCCATATGGAATCATTCCTGGTCAGCAGAAATAAGCAGTATTAGGCTGATATTTAACTTTACTAGCTTCAGTTTTGTTTGTACATGTTAATTCTGTGTTGTTGGCAACCACATTACTGTAAGTTTAAAAACTTTTCATAAAATTTATAAAACATGTTTACCCAAGCATGTCCAACATATATAAGTTTGGTTGTCCAGGATAAAGTTGATTTTGTGCTATTTTTTCGAATTAAGCTCTTTTCACCGGCTCCACCGGCGTTTCACAGCAGCTCGCGCGGAGCCCATAGAAATACATGGTGGTGGTGCGCGTCTTAGCAATGTGGAACGTCTGTGACGTAGCTCCGCCCCCGAGGATAGTCTCAGCACACATATTTTTTGTCTGAGATTTCTTTGCACGATGTAACATATTTCTAGAGGGACAAATACAATGTATATCTATTTAACTTCAAAAATGATGCAACTGCCTTCTGTTGGGGGCAGTTTCATTTTATCTCTAGATTTTATTTGTTTACAGGAGACTTGGTTAAATAGTAATAGTTCTTTTACTTTGCCTAGTAGCTTAAATAGTTTTGAAATTATTAGACAAGATAGAAAATTAGATATTAGTAAGCAGAGAGTTTCTAGAGGGGGTGTTGCTGTCTTATATAAAGCACAATATAACAACTACATACACAAAGTCAGTAACTGTTCAAACCACTTTCTCTGGTGTAAGCTTGATAGAGATTTGTTTAAAATACAGAAGGATATTTATATCGGATGTGTGTACATACCACCAGAGAATTC